GACATAATCAAACTTCTTTGTATTGAAATCATGGCTTATTTTGGTACTTTTGTTTAGAATAAATAGAACCTTGGGTACTGGAAAAGAGGACCACGCCCCTTGATCTGAAACAGTGCTGCATAAGAAGAGGAGTGCTGACCACTGGAGGAGAGAGGTGCCTTCTTGGAGGTCAAGGATGAGTGGGGTGACTTACAGAGTGCTTATATGTTGCCCACTCTCAGACTTTCCTGACACAGAATAAGGGACAATTGTTTCCCTTCCAAATCTTCCAAGTAGTCAAGCTCACAGGAGTAGAAAGAGGGATGGGCAAGCAAGGTGATGTTTTGAAAGGACAGACTGCATTGCGTTTTCTTTGCTGGGAGGCTGAAGCCTTTTTCACTCATCAACCCTCACTCTCAAGCCCTTGTACTTATAAGCGGTGCCGTTCTTCCAGTGTCCTGTGTCTCTTCCACTCCCATACTGCTCTAGAGGCTGTGATGCAGAGTCACTTCTGGACATGAGTCTTTCACTACGTGTTCAGGCTTTGTGGAGCATCTCCTGTATTCAAGGCAACAACTTGATTCATCTCTGGCTTCCTGAGACCTGGGTGTGTGTGTTGCGGTATTGTGAGGATATTCTCCACATTGGCTGAACTGAGTATGTGCATGCAGAAATTCATAACGTTCCTGGCCTAAGTACAAAATGGAGTTGAGAGGACCCTCCCCGGTATCTTAGCTTCCTTCCCTGAGTATAATGCTGGAGGATATGAAACCTTTAAGAAATAGTGTATATTTGAAGAATGACCAGAGTGCATTGTGCAAACAGAATGTTATGGCCCCTGTTGCAGAGCCGTTCATCTTCATTTTAACTGCTACAGAAAAGTATTACAATTATACTTCTTTGAGATACTGGGCATTGAACCCAGATGCTGCTATATTGTAGGCAAGAATTCTACCACTGAGCTTCTTCCCTGGTCCTTTTTATTTTTATTTTGAGATAGAGTTTTGCTAAGTGTTTCAGGCTGAGTTCAAACTTGCTTTATTGTCCTGAATAGCTACAACTAAAGTTTACCCCAATATGCTTTGCTGAAATACTCAGTGTAGCCTATATTAATGGGTTTCTATGTGATGTTTTGAGGCCCATTGATTTTAAAACTTGTATTGAGTATTGGCTCAAGCTTGTGAATGTTGAGGAAACAAAGATGACCAAGAAAAATCCTTGAGAAGGTCTCAATCTCTGAAAAGCTCCTGTCAGGTCATTCAAAGTCACTTCACACTATTCCCCAAAGGCAGAGGAAGAGCTTAAGAGCTTAAAGCCTCTTGAATTTATAAACCTTGACACATGTGCACATGCAGGCTTCCCACAGAGGAAGCACACTCACACACATAAATCATGGCCAAGTAAAACTAAAGGTCACTGACTCACTTTATAGGCTGGTGGATAGGTGTTCACAAATTTGAACCCCCCTTCCCCCATGTCCTCTCCAGATGGTTAGAGACTTGTGAGGCAACAAGGATGAATCAAGTTGTTGCCTTGAATACAAATTGTTGCCTTGAATCACAAATGCCTGTGATCCTTGTTGTAGTCCATGATGGTGGGGTCCACTCAAGCTAAATCTATAGCCTTAACTGACTCTGGGGTTTTCAACTTGGTCATGGCTCGACAGCAGAGACATAAAAGGAAGTGTCATGTAGAGCAATTTGAGTCTTCATCCCAGATGTCACGAGAGGCTTCTTCCCATTTCCTCATCTTCCTTGCAGTCTTGTTTCCTGAGTGCAGGACTGGGTCTTCTGGGACTGGAGTCCATCACATCAGAGTGCACAAGATACCATAGGAAGGACTTCATGCCTTCACTTAGCTGTTCACTCCTCTGCAAGAAGCACAGGTTCTGTGAATCTTAACTGCAAGTTTGCAACTCATAGATATTTGGTCCCTTCCATACATGGCTGTTTCTTCATTTCTGCTTCCCCACCTAGACTGAGTAGGGTTTCCAGTCTGTAGGTTTGGCTAGTGCTGTACACACTGCACTCCCACTTCCTGTCCTTTCCAGCTGTTCTTCTGGTCTTCCCTTCTCATTCCCCTGGAGATGGAAGTATGGGTGGTGTCCTTCTGATGCTGGAAAGAGTGATCACCATATGATTGACTTGCTCCTTTGAATTCAGTAAGTGGCCTGGCCCCAAATGCCCTGAGACATCCAGGTGCTCAGCAGTACAGGATTGGTATCTGGGTAAACCCTTTTCCCAGAGTGTAGAGAAGGAAGGGCTGGTTACAGTTGGATGCCTTGTGTGGGAGTCTCAGGGAAGAGGTGTATTGGGGCTTTCAGAGTGCCAGCAGCAGGGGCTTCTGAGGACTTCTCTTCTACTCTGTGCCTCCAAGTGAGGGCATCTCCCCCAGGTTCCTCTTCTCTGATTGTTCCTTAATACTTTCAGGAGCCAAGCTTGATGGTATATATCTGTAATTCCAGAACTTGAAGGTCTGGGGTATGATTGGCTCAAGGGGACTACACAGTGAGACACTGCCTCCACGAAAACAAAATAAAATGCAATATCCCACAAACCTTTCAGGGATTTCTGCAGAACCTAGAGTGTTCTCTGAAGCCCTTATCCCCAGCAAGAAGCTATGTTGCTGACAGCATGTGTGACAGCTGAGCAGCATTTGTAAGGACTTGGAAATGTTACTGTGCATGGATGCCTTTGGGAATTTTACACTGAAAACCCCTGCCATCACTAAGAAAATAATCTGCAACTTGTTGCATGCTAAGTAACCGTGAAACTTCCCTTAGCATGATGTGGTGACAGGAGAGGATTTATTTGTTCCATTGCTACAGTTGATAGCCAGAAATACTCAGGGAGGATGAGAATGGATATAAGCAAGCTTTATTGTGAGCTATTGAGTTTTTTTCTACATCTTTAGATAACCATGGTAAGCACATAGTTCACTCGAATTTTCAAGAATGCCACAAGGTTAATATTTTCCAAGCATTTATTAGTCAAGCAGGATGCAGTTAAACTTTTACCTTACCTCTCTGTTTTTTCTCGCTGTTTGTTCCCCTGGTTAAGAACTTGACCTCTTTTGTGGCTTTATGGTTAACTAAATGGGAGGGGTGAGAAGTGTGTTCATCTAGAGTTTAAGTGACTTTCAAAATGCAGCCCAGAAAGAGAGTGGAGTTACATTGACCATGTCACCATCATCTGAGAATGTTCTAGACTCTTGTTGCTTTAATAAGCACAGGAACGAGGATTGAGGCAGTTATCCTTGAGAATGAACATGAATAGAAACATGTCGACGAGTTGGAGAAGAACAACAACCAGGAGTAGGAGCAGGAGTAGATGCTAAGCAGGAGCAGGTGCAGGATCTGAGCAGGCGCAGGAACACCAGCAGAGAAGGAGTACAAGCAGAAGCAGGATCAAGAGCAGGTGCAGGAGCAGGAGCAGGAGCTGAGCATGAGAAGGTGTGGGAACCTGGGCAGGAGCACAACCAAGAGCAGGAGCAGCAGCAGTGGAAGTCACCACCACAAGGGAAGAATTCTCTTGGTCAGCAGCCAGCTCCCTGCTTTAAGGATGTTTACTCTTTAATGGAGAAGTCAATGGGTATAATGCTGTTGCCCCTCTTCTGGGGCATGTAACAGGTAATGGGGAGCCTTGTATAGGAAATTTCTCCCTTCAAATTGTCGTCCCATTTCACTTTTTATCTGTTGGTGATTGGTAGATGTAGATAATGAGGAGCAGGCGAGAGCTGTAAATCCCTAGCTTCTCTTTTCCTCCGAACTTCTGTAGCATCCTGTCCCACTTTGCTCATGCAAAATGGCATTCTCTATCTCACATGGAGAGCCCTTCCATGGACTGTGGCTGTGGGAATCAGTCTCCAGCCTTATCCTGGTCTCCAAAGGGGAGGCTCTGCCCACGTGTCCACACTGAATATGCACTGAACAACAGTGGTTATGTTTGGATGCCTCCAATTGAGTCAGAAAGGGAGTCATATATATGGGTTACTAGAAAATCTGCTTCATTTTAGCTGGAATGGACTTGCTATAAGGGAGGCTGGCACCTACATCAGGGACATGGCAGGAGGCAAGGTCTGGTTGTACAACTCCACATATCACACTAAGAGTTTCATCTACCTATAATTGGCCTAAAACCATACAGGAATGAGCAGCTAGGATTACTCTCAGGCAGTGATGATGGTTGTGATTGAAGATGGCTGCAGTCATGTCCATCTGCTTCCATTCAGCCTGGGAAAGGCCACCTTTAGTAGGTGAGAGTTATTACTGCTGTATGAGCTTTGTGAAAGTCATCCTATTCCAGCCTCACCTCAGCACTGGAAGTTTCATTCGTGGGAACCCCCTTATCCTTCCTTACCTCCTTCTTTTCCTCAGATTTCTAATTTCCCTTTGATGTCCTCACTACCAAGACATCATTCTTCATGTCTGCCCCCTAAGTCAAGAGTCCCCCTTGGACTATACTTGTAGCACTGAGGGATTGATAGTGACTTATTTTTTGAAGGAGTGATTTAGGGTCACGAGCATGATGAGGAAACCTGGGCTGAGAGAAGCAATTCATTGTAAATGTACTTTTTCTTCAAGAATAGGTTGCCAACACCTCCTACCTGTGTTTATGATGCCCATGCAAGGTGCTGGCACGCAAATGAACACAAACAGTCTGTTACTGGAACCTACTCACAGAGGTACAGGTGTCATGAGGTTTGTGTGTATTTCTGTGTGGGTACTGGATGGCAGAGAGAGAGAAGAATGGACTAGAATCATGTTTTTCTGGGAGGCATGATATGGGATATACAAGGATATATATATAGCAATAAGACAAAATCAGTTCAAATTGCAGAGAGGTGGGCAACATTAATTTTAAATATATATTCTAGGAAGACAGTAATTTTTAGGGAGTAAGATGCAGGCTCCATGCCATGGCACTAGATACCTGCCTTGCCCAGCCCTCTGGATTCTCACTTCCTCTCCCTGCTTAAACTGGGTCATACTCTCATCTTGCATCACTGTACCTGTTCCTGGCTTCAGTGAAGTCATGGTGTTGTATCTCATGGCCTTTGTGGGCTTGTTCTATCTTGTGTGCTGGTACTGGGAGAGGCAGGTGATGAGCCCCTTCCATGACAATTATGTCTTCATCATGGGCTGTGACTGGGGCTTAGGGAACCTGCTGGCCAGTCAGCAGGACATGCGAGGCATGAGGGTAATGACCGCGTGTCTCACGGAAGAAGGGGCCGAGCAGCTGAGGAAGCAGACAGCACAGCTGGAGACAGTGATCCTGGATGTCACCCAGACAGAGAGCATTGCTGCAGCTGCCCAGTGGGTGAAGGAGTGCGTGGGGGACAGAGGTACCACCCAGATTCCTGTCTGTGTCTTTGGGCTTCTTCTGTGTGTGTGAAGGGGGCACCTTCTGTGTGCTTCCTGGTGAGATTTAAAGGAATCTTGAGGTGGTGCTTGAAGGAAGACTGACTTCCTTCCCCTCCCCCAGCGATATTCTGAGCCCCTTCTCTCTCTTGTGTCCCTTAGAGCCCTGTGCTTTGGTGAGAGGGGCCCTATTGGGAATCTGGCCACTCTGTCCAGATTTCCTCCTTGTGCTCTGACTGCCTCTCTAAGCAGAAGTTCTGGTTGCTGGATGCTGAGTTTCTGGTTGGCAATGGGGTATCTTTCAGGAGTAAGTCTGGGAGCTGGCACCATGTGGAGTGGCTGGGGACATGCTAAAGCTGAGCTCATGTCTTCACACTGCAACTTGTTCTTCCTGTGTCACCAGCATTCTCCACCTGGAGAGCTAAGTTCTTCCCATTTTCAGAAGAGCTAGATTACACTGGCTTCAGAAAGGCAAACCTGGGGCTCACCTTTGCTTTCTCTTTCAGCAAACTATTTTGTCAGTGTTGTTACTGGGAAGAAAGGAGCATTGTTTGATTTCATCCAGGAATTAATGCCAACTATGACTGCTGTCAAAAACACAGGAATGCATAAAAGCATAACAAGCATACTTCACCAAAAGTAAATACCATTAAAATTTGTCTTATATGGGATTATTATTGTTATTTTGAAGCCTAAGTATATATGGGATTATATTTTTTGTATGCTTTATAGTTTTTCTTTTGGTTGACAAATGAATAGGAGTAGTTTTATTACATGATGAAGATTTCTTCAGAAAAATATAATTAATGTTTACAGTATTCTATCATCTGATACAGCCCTACTTCTTTATGCACACAGAATGGCTGGACATTAGAATTGTATATACATCTCATTGTCATAAATGCTGTCTTGGTAATCTTTCACTTACTTAAATCTCTATATACATCTGTCCCATTGAGTCGCTAGAGATAAAGTATGTTAGCGATAGAATATGTTTTCGCACAACAGCAATGCGTGTTTGTTGGCAGAGGAGGCTCAGGATCCCTGGGCCGGCTGTTCCACATCATCTAGCCAAACCTCTTGCCATACATGAAGTGGTTTGCTGCCCATGTGGCATGTTGGGAGGAGAAATACTGTTTGTTTCCAGTGATAGGGCTTAGGTCTTTCAGACTGGCCACCCGAAGAGTGTGCTGGGGAACAAATATGAGCAAGCAGGGTGACCTTCTGAGTGAGTGGAAGACGGATGCCATTCTCTGTGGCAGAGTACTGAGGTATGTAATGGGGGTTGGGGATTGTATTCTGACCCCCAGTATAAGGTTTTCTGTCTGGTTTTGCAAGCACACTCTCAGGGAGGTGGCCCTGTATCAGTGGCCTGGTTTCAAAGTACCTTTAATGAGGACAAACACACCATTCTTATCCAAATTCTCCCCCAATGTCATCAGTTCTTTGTTTATCAGCAAACTTCTATGCATATTCTGGTCTCGTGTTTTTTCTATTTCCTTTTCATCTGTTTCTTATCTTTCTACTTATTCTTTTCTCATTTTTTTTTATTTCTCTTGATAGATAGTAGTGCAGCACTGTGAATAAAATGTTGAGAATATCTTAAAATATAAAATACCTGAAATGTGACTTTGTAAAAGGCCAAGGTATTTTCCTTCATAATGGATGCATGCTGTTTTGTCAACATCTATTCTTGTAAAGATTGAATAAGAGGTGACTTCCTGCTACCTCCCAGGCAGTGAGCTGGGCCATGAAGAATCAAAGAGAGAGGAAGGCATCAACTCTGTCAACCAGCAGCTCCAAGATGTATAGCTTGAGTCTTTCAGATACCGGGTTGTTTGTGTTCTGCCCTTCTTCCTTGCAAGGATAGAGTGCTTCCCACTACTGCAAGGTGAGTTTGAGCCACAACTGTGACCAAGACACACTCAATGTGTCTCTCTCAACTTCCTACCATTCCTAGGACTCTGGGGCCTGGTGAATAATGCCGGCACCTCCTTACATATTGCTCCCAATGAATGGCTGAACAAGCAGGACTTCATGAACATGCTCAGTGTGAACCTGTTGGGGGTGATCGAGGTGACTTTGAGCCTGCTGTCTTTAGTGCAGAAGGCACAAGGCCGTGTGGTCAATGTCTCCAGTGTCATGGGCTGGTTGTCATTCTATGATGGTGGCTACTGCATCTCCAAGTATGGGGTGGAATCCTTTTCCTACATTCTCAGGTATGGACTGGAATGGGGTTTCCTGTTGCTCCTGCTCCCTTTATTTTGCAGTATCCTATTTCAGGGTTTCAGTTAGTTCCAGGCTTAGAGACCTATCTTGGAGATCCATCCCTCTGGGTGTGAGACTCTCTCACATCCCCTTTCTGGGTTCAGGTGGTCATTTGTTCGGAGCCACCATTCCATGTGTTGTGCAGAGCAAAGGCCTGAGTTCAGTTAAACTTCTCCTGCCCTGGAGGAGGGTTCACAGGTGGAAAGCACCTGAGGTGGAAGTGAAACAGAGATGATTTGGACCTGGAGCCAGAGGCTGACTTGTATGTCTGAATGGCTTAAGGTTTCTTACCCAACTCCACAGATGCTAATTGGGCATTGGTTCAAGTGCAGACAAATTCCTTCTATCACAATCATATTGTTGTTCTCTTGAGGTAAGAACTCTTGCACACGTATGAGCTGGAGAAGAGACATAGAGTCATCTGTGGCATCTCTCAGAGTAGCTGTGCCCACATCAGCCATGGTAACCACAACAGCCACCAGATATATGGAGGCATGCTGTGTGGTAGGGCACAGGTCAGCTTGTGAGCATCTTGGGGCTTTGGTTTTTTTCTCCAGTACCAGGAACCGAACTCACGACCTTGCACTTCCCAGGCAGGTGCTTTTGCCCCTGAGCTAAATCCCCAGCCCCCCATCTTGGGGCTTTGGACATGTGTGGACCTCATGCTGTTAGCAGGATGCCTCACATAAAGGATTGAATTTGGAAGCCCCTTGGGCCAGTCAGAATCCAGGGACCCTGCTGGCTGCAGGTAGAGTTGTGTCCAGCTGTGGGTTGCTAGAACTGAATGTTGAGCCACATTCCCTGGAAGACAGTAGCACAAGTCCAGCTGAGAGCTGGCAGCGAGCATCGTTGGGCTGGAGATGGGAGTGAGGGGCCTGATTTCGGCAGAGGAGACATGGGCAAACCTGGAAATCTATTGATACAAGGGAAACAGGGGTAGCTAGTGTTTTGTTCTCTTTTTGTTTTAAGACAGGGTCTCACTATGTGGCCTAGATTAACCTGAAGGCTCTGGTTCTCCTACCTCAGTCTCTTCAGTGCTAGTTTATATGAGTGTGCATCATGCCTAACAAGAGATAGGGTTTTTGTGGTTGTTATTGAGACAGGGCCTTGCTATGCAGTTCAGGCTGACTTTGAGCTCATGTTGTAGCCCAGGCTAGTCTCAAACTTGCAAAGAGAGCGCTCCTGGGTCCGAGTGTGGGCCGGACTCATACCACCGCGATTCCCAGCCGAAAAGCGCGCAAAGAGCCAGGTAGGCCGCACCCAATCCCGGAG